AGGCGGAGAGCGGAGCATCGTGCTATTTTTATGTTTAAGGTAGTTAATAACCTTTTTATGCACACTTTTCACTGCTCTTTTAACAGCAAATATCATAACTATAATACACGATCCAAGCGAAATATCCGCAAATCATTCGCACACAGAAGATGAGGGCACTGGATAACAATAAATTTTGCAGCGGACACTTAAGCTTGGAATGCCTTACTCCTTTCCCCAGGAGATGTGCCCACCTTAAGCCAATTTAAGCGTGGTATCAAGAAAGCACTATTTTTATTAGTTTCGTTTTTCGCTTGTTAATTTTCAAATAATGTAGTTTTATCTTCATATTTTTCGATATGTATTTTTTCTTTTTATTTTTTAGTAATTATATTTTATGTAGTTACCTTTAAAGGACCCCTCTGTAAACCACGTTTTTGTGATGTTGGCATCCTCAATAAAGATTAACTATTATTATTTTTATTATTATATATATTGACTTTACTGTACTGGTGCAAGTTTATTTTTCGTTTTCAATTATTTTTTGGTTGTTCGGGACAGCGGGATTTTAGTCTTGTTCTTGAGACGAACTCCACGAAAAGAACTCATAATCAGCCGTCTTGACCTTCGCTTTGTCAACTAAGCATAGCTACAAATTAAATCCAATCTTGAACTTATTTTAAGCCAGTTTTCTCTTTCTCTCCTCCTAGGTAGTTTTGGTTATTCCCACGCGACACGCGTGATCTGATCAATTAACGAGTCACGCTTAGAGATCTCGACCTTGACATTGGGATTGACGTGGACACTCTTTTGCAGTTGAGTTGAGTTTTGTGACCTAAGTTTCACATCATGAATTTGTCGCTTGTTTTTGGTTGAAATTTAAGATTTTTCCAAGTCCTAGTTTACATTCAAATGCTTTATGCATCGTAATTTAAAACAGATATGCCAGATTTGTTGGCAGAGTTTACACTGTAGCCCCTTTTTCAGAAAAAGCCGGATTTCTCATTTCACGTAAATTTTCCTTAGCAATAAAGTTAAGTAATCATAAAAATTTTAAAAAGATGTCTTGGTAGCATGAACGTGGGTAAAGTTTTCTAAAATCCATGCAAAATCTGTTTGCCGAGTACTACGCTAATGAAAAATTTGATTGGCCATAGAGCTTGCGAACAGTCCCCTGACGGCTGTTGGAATTAACTCCGAGTGAAGCAGCTTGTAAGGGAGTGGTAAGGAAGGGGAGCGCCCTCTTCCTTACCCATTCCCCTACGTCGCTGTTTTTCTTCCCGCTTTTCTTTTCGTCCCGTCTTCGGCTGAAGAGCCTGTTCAGATGCTACTGTCGATCCGACAAATGTTATAGTTTTTCTTCTCAAAGAAAAATCAGGCATGAAAAAAGCCCAGCGAGATTTAGTTTTCTTGTATTTTTAGTTCAGTGACATGCGTCTGATTAATCAGAAAAACTATTGACTTTAACAGTTGACTCATTAGGTCACACCAGCCTGCTACTCACTTGTTTCGATGTAGCATCCTCTTTAGTAATTCTCTGTAACGTTTCGATTTCTTCAGTCATACACTCCACTTTGTTCCTACATTTCTTGACGGCCATTGCCTGCTCTTCCTGTTTACGCAACACGTCTTGAGTCGATTTATACATGTCCAAGAAGGAATCCAACTGTTTTTCATCCTCTGTGAAAGTATTATCAATATATTACGATAAACAGTCATAGGGGCAGTTCTGTCTGTTTCGGTTGCCCAAGCTCACAGTGTTCAGAATCAATCAACTTTCTAGAGTAATAAGTGATACTAAGGGTACTGCTTTACTACGCTCTGTAATTTGTCTGTAGAACTTGTGACACCTTCTTAACAAATAAAATGCATAAAGAAAAAGAATCGTAAAGTTTACCAGCGATATCCTCGACAACTTGGGTTATTCTGTTCAGTTCTAACTGCCTGTTCCAGTACTTTTGGTTTGGATTTACCCAAAGCGTTGAAGCATCTATAAAGCAGTGTCTTTTTTCATTTTTGTCTAGAAAAAGTAGGAAATGGAAGCGAGGCTCACCTAATGACGTCTCTTTTTGCTCTCTGAAGTTAGCGATTCTCTTCGGATATTTCCTTCTCTCGCTCAACTGCAACAAGACCGGAAAAATAGAGAAGACAAGGAACTGCCATTCATGTTATTACATTATACTCTATCTCATTGCTAGGTACTTCGCTTAGTTTTACATTTATTGAAAAACGAGCGGTAACCACGAGTTATTCTTAGTGATTTTGTATGACCTTCAAACACCGATCGCGTTTTCAAAATTTTTTAGCACAACAGATTACTCATTGATACATCCCTTAAATAAGCTGTGTAAAGAGTAAGATAGGAGGATAAGGAAGTATAAGAAAATAAATAATACCTTATATTCTTCCTCCTTTCTGAAGCCATCTCCCGTATTTCCGTAAAGGCTATCATCAATTTTCTTGGTTTTGATTGGATCGCTGTTTTTTTCTCGCAAAAGCGCGTTCTTTTCGTCCCATAAGGCAAGTCTAACATCTCTTTCGGCTTTTCTTTGCTGCCTTTTATGACCGAAAGGAATTGTTTTGATGGGCTTTTTGGTTCCTGTGCTGTCGCTCCCTGACTGAACAATTACTCTTCTTTCACAGTAGTTTGGAGCGATATGAGAACCATCCCTGCATGTTTTGCCATTGTCAATGACCCTTTTGTTCAGAGAAGATAAAAACTCAACAGATTCAGGAAGGTACCAGCCTGGGAAAAAATCTTTCGAATCCATTTCTTGAACTTGCCCGACCTTTTTCCTTGTTACATTTTCGCTCTCCTTTGGGCCATTTGTTCTTGGCATATTTATTTTTGCTACAGCGCCGATGCCTTTAACAATGTTACTAATCCATTGGTCTGTGGCGATCCTTTTTTTCTTAGTAAATTCTGATCCGTAGTTATTCTTTCCCTCGATATTTTCCTTGTCAGTTTTATCGTCCTGCTGGTATGTACGTTGAGTAAGCTTGACTTGAGTGTGTTGTTCTGGTACAAATTTTTGCTTTTTAGTCACACTTACACCTTTTTCAACCGCTGGATTTGAAACGGAGTCCGACGCTTTTTCTTTTTCACGAATTTGAGGCACGTGCAAACTATTTCCTTTTTCGATTTCGTCCATAAACTTCTCCTTGTTAAGCTTAATCTCTACACTTATAGAGTCGATAAGACCATTGTTATTGCAAAGTGAAACTTTACTCTCTGTAGACTCAGAATCCACCAGTTTAAGGTTTAAAACGTTTTCCAGTGCACTTGAATGTTCCCTTTTTAGGTCAACAAGGCTTCTCGTTTTGGCATCCAAGTTATCTAGCAAACGTTCGACATCTTTCTCAACCGTATTAAATTCATCTGCAAGTGGTGTAACTTCGCAGAGATCCGTCAAAAACCCAAGTGAGTCGTTTAATTCTGTTTCATCCACCGAAAATGTGTCAGCACGACTAACAGCACCAAATGAGCCCTGTAGTGTGTAAGGTGACTCAGGATTTACCTTTTTAAATTGTTTTCGAGTATCTTTTACCTCAAAATCTAAAGGCTTGTATCTGGTAGAATTGAGCCTTTTCTGTTTCAGTGTTGATTCATCTGTTTCCTGCGTTGTAACGAAAGGTTTGTGGGCGATGCGTTGCTGGGTATACCGCTCCTTTCGAGCTCCTTTGGAACAACTTTCTTTTTGATTACCGGGTGCCAGGTCCATTTCATCATCTGTGGAAAGTGGGTTTAAAGATACACCATATTCATTATCTCATTATTTATCTATCAAATTCATATGAAGTAAGTCAGAAAATCGCAGTTTTCATCGCAATGAAAGATTACTACTACTATTGGGTGAGAGATATTCTTAATAATTTACTGGTATCTATTTATATTCCGGTGTGAGCAGAGGTAATGTTGAGAGAGAGAAACGCGTTTGAGCCAAGAGCACAGCATGATGACCTTTAGATAATCCCCAACTGGACCTTGCGATCCACATTGTAACACTCTTGCTAAAAATAGTTTACAAGAATCCGTCCTAGGTCCTAGTCTTCTTCACCACGTTGAATCACACCCTTATTTTTTTTGGTTCATTGTTATCGCTTTTGTAGCGATGAAATAGCTGGCATGCAAATGAATTTAGGATTTCCTTCTATTTTAAGGTAATTTTCAACGATGTTGAAGCGAGTGAAATATTGTGTTTTTCCCTTAGAATATGGCTTCCCCCTGAAATTTCATACTCAAGAAAAAGTAAGGCTTGATCGTGGTATTACAAAGTGTAATTCATCAGTGTAACAAGATTCTAACATGGCTTACCTCTGGGCTGTTCTACTTTCAATTCCTTGGACTTCGGTTTCTTTGCATGGCTCGGTGAGTGAAATTCGTTGAGACTGACTTTGTTTGTAGAATGTTGACCTTTCCTCAAAATTTTTAGCCGTAAATCCTCCATATTTGGCCGGTTTTCACTGTCTCTATAGTCTAACCACGGAAGAAAAACTTCACTAAATGGCTCAACAGAGTTCATGAGGTCGGCGGTTGAGATGTCCACGATGTCGTTACAGGGAAACAAGGGGAAATCAAATGGTTCAACACAGGAATCAAATGAACTATGAGACGCCAGGTTTGAGTCTTTCCCAACCGGGGTTACCTCATCCTGTTGTATGGCAAGTTTTTCAACTGCCAAGTTTCGCTTGGAAACAAAAAACTCTTTTGTTGCAGGTTTTGCTGCTCTAAATGGCTCCTGCCTGTCAAGCCTCCTCATTTTTTGTTTCCTCGGGCAAGAGCAAGGGGTTTTGTGGCGTTGCTTCGGAAGTTCTCGAAATGAAGCTATTGCCTCTCTCAGCGAGAAACTTGCTCCTTTTTTCCCGCCTTCAAAATGACTTGTTTTTTCATTGTCGTCGGCGTTTTTCAAACTACTGACTGTTTGCTCACTGGTCAGTTTGTTCTCCGCTTCCCGTATTATATTATTGAGCCATTCTCTTACAGCTTTCTTAGTTTTCTCTGGGTCTTTAGTCAAGGGACAGTCTGGTTCTATAGAGGCTCTGATTGGCAACCTAAGCGATTGGGTCCACTCGTTTCCATCTTCTGCGGAAAGTGCACTTTTTGCTTTCCTGACACTAGTTGCAATTTCTTCTCTATCAACCCCGATTTTTTGCTTCTTATCTCTGCTGATTGAGCTCGTGAATCCTTGGTGAAGCGTTGAATATTCAACTTTCGATGGTAAGAACTCTCCGTCATTAGAATCAGGATATCGTGTTTTTTCTGTGTAAGTCGTTGTTCAGTTACCGTTTGTAGTGCTAGACATCAAAGATTTTACGAGCACCTTGTCATCAATTTGGAAAGTGGTTGACCTTTTTTCTTCATTCAGTTGGGCCAGCATTAGTTTCAAAAGTTCTGTCTCTTTATTAGCTTTTGAAAGTTTCTCCTCTACCTCTTCCTGTAGTATCTCCGCTTCAGTCTTACTTTTGATAAGTCTCTTTATTTCTTCTTCTTTTTCGTTTATAACTTTACTTTTCTGGTCAACTTCCTGGCGCAATTCAAAGTTGAGGGCGGTTACGTCTTGAGTACTGGTAACTAATTCCTGAATTTTCTCTTCATTCTTAGCGCATTGATTGAACCAGTAATTGTAGCTGCTCCTAACACTCTTCAGATCGTTTTTTAAACGCATCATCTCTTGCTGTAACATTTCCCCGTGGACGGTTTTCCTGTGAAGTGTTTCTTGTAGCTCTTGAATCTTCTTTGGATAGTCATTTTCGTCAGAGTTCCTATTCTGTTCCTTCAGGTAACGTGGCTCATCTGTTGTGTTAGTAGATTCAGTCTGAAAGGTACATAGCAGACTTTTTTCTTCAGATGGGTTTGACGTTGCAAATAGTTCACCTCTTTCCCTCTCTTTGACAACGTTTAGCTCGTTTTCTAAAGTATCCAGTTCTTGCTGCAACATATCCTTAACAGCTGTCGTATTTTCAAGAGTTTTCTCAAATCCCCGGATCTGATCCTGATAGCTGCTTTCAAAAGCTCTGGGGTAACTAGTCTGCTCGGTGAGTTCTTTGGGTTCATTTGTTTCTCTGGACAAGTGTAAATGTGGAAATTTCTCGCATAGCACTTCCTCTGGCCTTGCAGTTATGTCCTCAGTTGCGTCGTCTTGCCTGTGTTCGAGTAGAAGCTCAATGCTTTCGATTCTAACAATTTCATTTTTACCTGATCCATCACCTTTTCCATATGTTGTCAGATCATCAGCCGCCGAATCGCGATCTTGATTACTTTCTTGGTCGTCTTCCTGACTCGACGACAAACTTGCTAAACTACTTTTAGCTGAAACTTCAGTGACATTATCCCTCCCTGATGCGTTAGTATTTGATTCTTCACATACACCAACAGCATCACTGAAAGAAGAGAAACTTATTCCTGTCAGCGAGGATTCTGAGGAAAGGAGCTCAGCACTTGATTCACTTGACAGACTCTTGATACTTCCACTCGAGGACAAAATTTTTTCACCAGAGGTATGCGCACGTCCTTCAATTAGCTAAAAAATAAAATTGAGTAGTTGTCTTGATAAAAAATAAATCAACTCAATTGTTTTGTTTGGAATAGTTCGAAGAAGTGTCAACTGCAGTCTAAAATAATCTGGGTTTTGCATACTGTGTTCTGCAATTGGATTGTAAAACTCGCCCCACCTTCCCAAACTACTTACCTGCGCGATCATTCCTTTTATCTACGTTGAGTTCTCATCGGCTGCTTGGCATCTTAACATCCATCTTGGTTGGTTTTACGATAACATTTTTCTTTAATCCTCAAGGAAAAAATGGGAAATGGCAAAAACAGTGATACTAACTTTCGTGTTTTCCACATCAGCATCAGATTCAGTGTCATCGGCCTCCTCAGGCTCTTCATTCCTTTTAGTCTCTGAAGAGTATAGAAAAGAACTCCTTTACAAGCACGAATCTGCACCTTAACGTCTCAATTCTGTTCCCACCATTTAAAGATGTACACCCTCGACAGTCTAGCAATGCTACGTTTTTCTCCTCCTCAGATTTGCATAAAGATGCAATAAAGCACGTTTATATGTATGAGGACAAGTCAGGAGACTTGGATCGAGTACACGAAGTCAAGGCTTTGAGTTAACTTTCCCAGGGCAAATATTATGACACAAGAAAACCTGGCCTGTCAAAAAAAAAAGGTTTGTAAAAGTGTACTAAACCTTGAGTTAAAGCGGGAAGGAGGGTGCAGGATTTGAATCAACATATTAAAAGAAAAGCCCTTTAATAGTATTTGGCTTCATTGTCCTAGGTGGGTCTGGCTTTCAGGGCTGCATTGTTAATCTTTTGAACTAAATGATATGGTGCTCTAAAAAGCTTTCAAACATCACTGAGTGTGACTTTGCATTTTGTTAGCTTGACATGCCAGACCTAAAATGATACTTGGAGCTCGCTCTTTAATTCCTGTCGTGTGAGATATATTGGCTTCGCCTCGATTGTCCGATGAGGTAGTGGTAGTTTCTGACCCCATGAAACGCTTTATCGTCCCCATAAATATGTCTTCCATTATTTTGAACATCGAATGAAGAACTTTATTTGCATCGTCTCTATCAATGACCACCTGTAGATGATAAAAAAAAGAATCATATGATGCACCATCCTCGCAGTAGATAGCGCTTTTTAAGCAATAGCGAAAATCAGACCTGAAAAAAATCAGGCCTGTACGAGATTCGAACCACTGACCTCTGCGATACTAGTGCAGCGCTCTACCAATTGAGCTAACAAGCCAACTGGGAGCAGGCCGTTAAGTTGATATCTAATACCGCAGTACAAAATATATGAACTTCATATATTTCATTGTATCTCAAAAAAAGAATCAAAACATCTCTACTCTACTTGGTCAAAGCGGTTAACTATGTAGTTTCTAGGACGGAACCATTGCAGGATTAATCATTATCAAAAATTATCTTTCACAGGTCACAATAACGTTTCTTAAGAGAGAGGGATTGGATAATTTTGATATCATGGACATGGAAATGACCGCCTATGAAATTACTTTCATGTTCTTGTAACCTGTCTGTGGAGAAACATATCCTTTGCAATTTTATTTAATAATAATGTTAAAAAAATAATAATAATAATAAACATTTATATAGCGCCTATACTTTTCAGTGCTAAGCGCTATATAAATATAGCACTTAGCACTTTTTATTTAAACGAACTGTGCAAAAATTGTTGACCTTGGGAGAAAATGTGAGTTGTGGGGTAATCCTTATTCTAAATTTCTTTAAGCTGCAGTCCGAGTGACCTCAATGCTGACGTAACAGTTCAGCATGTGAGTACAGATGACAATGGTCCTTCATTGAATTGTTGACAAAATCAACGGAAGTCATCATCAGAATCACTGCAATGATTATTTTTTAAATTATCAAGCAAATTTTAGCGATATTGCTGCCAACGCTGTAAATGGTCCTTTCCTTCATTTCAGGCTTACAGGAAATACCTGCTGTTATTAAAGCTGACCTGCTCTTCTCGCTACGGACCAGTCAAAGCACGCATCGCAATAGGTATACCTCACCTGTCGTCCTCCCGAGTCAGCTTGTGGTAACCCCTCCAGTTCAGCTTTCAAGCGCTTTCTTTCGGCCTCGTGCCAGTTTAACAAGTCATGTACACTATCAGGATCCAATAATTTAAAACCAGTTTCTTGAGGCGCGTAGACAACGTTTTGATGTTTGGCTTGGGGCGAGGTTTTTGTCGAGACAGGCACTAAAGATGATGGTTTACAGCAGTGGGCGGCCTCCTCGTCGTCCAAAACAGACGAAACACGACGTGATAATTCCTTCATCATTTGAGCCCTTAAATCTGCAGGGTTCTGATCACTTGAAGCTTTTCTTGGAAATTTAACTCTTGGAATCGGTAGCTTGGGTGGAGGGGGGACTTCATTGCTTACCAATGCTTCATGACTGCCACCCCCAATTGATTTTTGCTTTAATTCCATAAGCATTTTGTTTCTCAGTTGTCCCATTTCCTTATCAGACAAATTCATCGGAACGTTTAACACTTTTGGCTTCTTCTTTCGTGTTAATTCCTCTTCCTTATTAGCAACCATCTCCCGGAATCGCTCTCCAAGAACATTGTTTAATTTTAGGGCGAAGCTGTTCTTCCATTTCTTGATCCTGCGAAACGCTTGTTGCTCTATTTCTGATGCATACTTGGAACTGTCGGTCAAAGGGGAATCTGAGGCAATTGTTGTTCTACGACCAGTCTCCTTAGTCTTCCACAACCTGAAAGCAGCCTCCACTGTTGACACATCATCATTTCCGCTATCTGATGAAACGCTCTGTACAATATAACAACACTGAATATCATTTCATAATTCATTTGCTTCCAAGGTGTCACATTCATGGAATCGCTTTCCTCTCACTGTTTCACACGAGATGATGACCCAGCGAAGGTTGAAACTGAGACCTCACGAAGGCACCCATCAAAGGCGAGCTTATCACTATTTACCTTCTTCACTTAAATTAGGTGGTCTAATTCTTTACAATGGAGCCATTTCGGACATTTAGTGGTTTTATTCTCATCTATTTACTTCTCATCTATTTACTTCTCACCATTTCATGAGAACTTAGGACCTGCTCAGCAACTTCGTTCACAAGAGAAACTGCTGAAGGAGTCTCATGATCCTGCAAAAGTATAATCGAATACAACTTCTATTAGGGGTTTAAAGTTTTGCCTTAAGTAACAAGGTTTGACAGAACATTTTTTTTTTAACTATCTTAAACACATTTTTTTCTTTTTCCAGCTTGGCCATAAATGGAATTTGAATAAATAAACAAAACATGTACAAGAAACTAACTAAACCTTCCACTGGTCGATTGATTTTAAAAAATTCCGTCTATCTTCTCAAAAAAATTTCCAATGTGCGATATTTCCCTATGAAGTCATACTTTAAACCCAACATCTCTAATCTCGAAAATTACTTTTTCCTGATTTCTGTGCACCTATTAGTGAAGCAACACTGCTTCTAAAGAATGCGAAAGACAATTAGAAAGCTATTTTCTTTGCCACGCGCCCGCGAACAATAATTTTTTTATTTCTCTTTTAAGAACAATTTTAAAAGATTGCCATATTTTTTGCTCCCCTGTCCTCACACAGGGTACTTTTATTGCGATTCCACCAGTATAGCAGGCACTTATTGTTTATACGAACCTTGTATCATAATAGTTGCAGTCACTAACAAGTTCCCGTTAGATCTGTGGCTGGAACATACTAAAGGTAATCAGTAGGCTCGGATACAACGGGAGTTACATTTGTTTTATTCCCATTTCGCCTCGTGTTTGACATATCGACATAAGCATTGGTTATTTCTTAAACTACAAGCAGCCCTCCCTCTTCAGCGAAGTTCGTCGCGAGAGTTGAAAGTAAGAAAGGTGTAAACAAATTGATGTTAGCGCGCCGCGAGGAGCTATGGTAGTGTCTTCATTGACTTTTTTTTTTTACTCGCATGACGGACTTCGCCGAAAATAAGGAACTTCTCGCAGTCTAGTTATTTCTGGGTTAATATCGTTGCGAAGAGCTTAGTAAAATTCTAATATTTAAAGCGTTTACCCTCACGTTAGCGTCGTTTTCCTCGTCGACCTCTTTGACCATAAAAAATGACGGCTGTTTGGATATAGATTGTCTTCCATTACGATTTATCCAGTGACCCGTCACTTCTTCAGCATCAGAAAGCTCTTGGGATGGAAAATGTTGATCACAAATTTCGCTGTCGTAGTTATCCACCAGTGACATCACTGACGAAGAACGAGACCTAACTGGCTCAGAGGTATCTCGCAACGAAGATAAACTGCTCTCTTCTCTCAAATTTTTCAACGATTGTTCGGGAAATTGAAGCCGCGATGGAGCTGACTTAACTTTGTGCATGGTTTCTTGGCCTCGTGAACACTTCTCCATATTAGGTAGGCTCCAAGTTCGGACCCGTCCTCCGGCCTCAACCAGAGTAGGTTCTGAATAGGATCTTGGTCTCTGGGCTGGCCTTCGCCACGTATGAAGCACTCTTTGTTCGTTTATCTCCAGCTCCCTTCCTGAATCTTCAGATTCGCTGCTGATTTCGCAAGCCGCATTGAGAGGGTAATTTTCAAACTGGGACGAACGAGTCAAAACGGAAATTGTTGGAAAATCTTCAGTGTGAAAGGAGCCTTCTGATAGATGGGGCATGATTCTGAAGCAAGATGTTCGGTAAAGACTTGAGGCAGGCTCGTCATCTGGGCATGTAGAGTTTGTATTGATGTGTGGAAATACTGTGTAGCTTTGTGTTTTCCTGAGCTCCGCGTCAGTAAAGACGCCTGGAGAGTTAAGGTCAGTTGAATCACTCAGCGAACGCTGTCTTTGCTTACTGTCTTCACTTACTCTGTGAAAAAAGCGAGAATCAGTAACTATCTGTTTAATTTTTTCAGGCAAATAAGTGATACACTGTCCACTATCCCCTCCGCCTGCTTTTTTAAGCGAAGAACTTTCCTCAGTTAACTGTGGTCTTAAATTAAAACAAAATAAACAAATTGAAAATAGATGTTAGATTAATATAGACATATAATTCATCCTAAATATCTTAGTGGTTGCCTCTATAGCATCTTCACAATCAATTTCCAGCCTTTTTTAGCCTTTCGTTATTTGGGGGCATATTTTCTCGTCGAGTATTACTTCCCTTTCACCTGCCCTCAACATCATCAACACGCTCTACTTCCTCCAAGACAGAGCTCCTGGGAAAAATACGATCGCAAGAAAAAAAAAAATTTTTGGTCACCACCTTTCCAAGCCGGGAGTTATTTTTGGTCATCTCCTTTCCAAGCCGGAAGTTATTTTTGGTCATCTCCTTTCCAAGCCGGAAGTTATTTTTGGTCATCTCCTATCCTGATACCGGGAGACGTGGTGTCCTCATTGTGAAAACTTTGGCGTCTATATTCAAGATATTACCTCATGCGATTTGGGAGTCGCAGGCGTACGACTGAAATCTCGAGCTTTTAACACCATCATCAGTTATGAAGGAGTTCATCGTCAAAACAAACATTTCTCTGGGAAATGAATCATAGATCTAACACTTTTCTATCGCACGTTATACCGTCGTAGATACTAATTGCAAGAAGTTACCTCTCCAGGGCGATACTTTGGTAAACTTCACCTTGTGTGACTTGAATATTTTCATCTACTCTAATTTCATTTCCTGGTTTGAGCAAAATCATGAATTGATATCATTCTACGATATGTGGAAGAACACTAAAGAGCACTATGAGTAGAACGTTGGGTTTTATCCACCATAATTCCTCACTGAATTTCAGTCAAATATAATTACATTCTTTTATGGGAGTAAAATCCTTTTTGTGCATTTTCCACAAGTTTGAAGGAGCGCTCCAAAGATTTTGAAACTCAATTATGTGAAAGTGTAGTGTGATCGTCTGGGTGAGTGTAATCCTGAGAAGGACTGTTGTTGGTGGTGGTCACTGACGTTTCGACAACCTGTGTAAGTTACATACATACATACATACATA